TATATAAAAAAAACTTACCATCAAGGGCAGAAATGACCAAGTTATATATTATATATTATGTATTATAATATACAATATTATATAATATAATATGTAGTGTTATATATTATAAATTCAAAACCAGACATCGACAGGTACTGAGCTGAATAATATAAAATCCTTGCGTCTGAATATTTAAAGCTCAGTATGGAAGGAGAATATACACATATGAGCATTTCCTTTATTTCTTAATTTTCTTTTGTTACTGTTTGAATACTCTGATTTAGAACTACAGTCTGAATGTAGACTTCAAAATTCACCAAGTAAATGTGAGGTAGTAACGCAGAAAAGCCTTGTCAGGGTCAAAGGCAAAATAAAATAACGCACTTGGCTTCTACCCTCAGAAGTCTGAGAAATGATGACTTATTTATAGCCCCACAGGCAAGTAACTGCAGGCGGCCCACAGCCAAAGGAGTGATGCATCAAAAAAGTGTTTACCCTCACCCTGGCCTGGGCCTGCCCTAGGGGCTGGGCTCAGTTTGGGTTGGTTCCTGTAAGGAGATAAGTATCACCTAGTCCTCCGGTGCTTGCCCCAAAATCAGGAACGCAGACTTGGCAGACTTGGCTGCTCAGTAGCAACCTTTCACCTCCCTAGAGAAATGCCACTAGAAAACATTTAACCCAACAGCTCCGGTATGCAACAGACAGGATAGGCCAAAGTCCTACAAAAATAACTGATTCATTGCTAGGGCACTGGAAATTGTGAGCTTCTCACCAAACATCATAAATATAGCTACCTGGTTTTAAGTTTCTAGCTCTACCCCCCACCCTCTAAACTCATCCTGTCGTTTTAGGAAAGGCCCTTAAACACACACACATTGTCTGCACCCTGAAAGTCAATCATGGCCCCAAATTCTTCAAAGTAGTAAAACACAGGTACGTGCTATTCTCTTTCCCACTTCCCATTTTTGTGGCTTATTTTCTGTCCTGGGAAATCTAATTATAACAAGACAGAAAGCAAGCACGTAAACATGCAAATTCACTAATTAGTCTCACTCATCCTCCCAACAAACTAAAAAATGGAGCCACCATTATACCCATCAGGGTTGGACCAGACCCAGAGGCTCCACTCCAGGACAAGTAAGGAGCCAACTCACCCCTCAACCAGCCTGAGATCCGGCCTCCTGCCCACCAAGGCTGGGAGGGCTTTGGTTTTTACCTAAATGGACCTGGGGCTTTGGCCATATCAACTCACCTTAACCAAAAGTCTAGATCAGGAAAGATGAAGTAGGGGAGTTAAGAGAACTAAGACCAGACCTGTCCCATATTGACGGTTCTCATACAATAATGAGGCCAACCCCATGAGACATCTGTGAATACCAGAGGGGACAGCCGGCCATCCACTTTCTGACACAGATAAGCTGGAAGCTGGAGCTACCAGAACAAACTAGTGACGCCGAAGACCTAGCGACCAGCTTCATGACTTTCTGACGAAAATCATTACTTAAGCTCAAAACACTAAGTCTGATTAACACTATAACTTTCTGGGGCGCCTGGGTGGCTCAGTGGGTTAAGCCTCTGCCTTCAGCTCAGATCATGATCTCGGGGTCCTGGGATCGAGTCCCACATCGGGCTCTCTGCTCAGCGGGGAACCTGCTTCCTCCTCTCTCTCTGCCTGCCTCTGTGCCTGCTTGTGATCTCCGTCTGTCAAATAAATAAATAAATCTTTAAAAAAAAAAACAACTGTAACTTTCACGAAAGTCATCTGAAATGAGGTTAACCAGCATATCACTATAGACTTTTAAGGATATGTCCTGAAATATTAAACAGAAATGTATCCAGGTGGAAGAAAACCAACAAATTAGTAAGAAAAACAAACAAACAAATAAAAATAGGGTAGAAAGTGGACAAAAAATAAGGATAAGCAAATAAGAAAAATCCAAACTGCCAGAAATATTTTTTAAATGTGCCCCCTCCCTAGTCATTGAACACATTCGAACTGAAATAATTAAAGATGGGTCATTCAGAGTAAAGAGATTTTGGCAGTTACTGGATTAAATGGGGTCACTTCGGGCAGCTGGACTAGAGATGACAGCTGCTTGGTGATGAGACCGTACATGCCAAACGTGTGTGTGTCACCTTTCGTGACTCATCTGGTCATGCTCTCGTGTCAGGAGGGTAAGCTTCCCAGCCGCAGTACCTCGGCAGTACCTAGTCAAACTGCAGGGCTCACGCCTCCTCTCTGGCCGCCGTGCTTCCGCATGTCCACTACCCCCATCCAACAGACAGGGACACTGCTCACTGTTCGCTGGGTACAACAAACACATAAATAAAAATAAGGGCAGGGAAAAGTGTGGTCCCTTCCAATGACGAACCACCACATTGCATTTAAAAAGACTGAACCAGACTTACATGCATTCACATGGGAAGAACTTAAAAACACAAGTTCACAAAGAAAAAAAGCAGATGCACAAGACTTACAGCATGATTTATTTCTAAAAATCACACATCACAAAATGTTGTATTTGGGGACGTACACAGGCATATGCACACATGATTAAATTAAACCCACAGACACTGGCTGCTTCTCAGAAGGGCAGGGCTGATGAGAAGGTAGAGAGGGGCGCCTGGAGTGCTCAGTCAGTGAAGCGTCTGACTTTGGCTCAGGTCATGATCTCGGTCCCGGCTCAAAGGCAGTCTGCTCCTCCCTCTACCCCCACCTCTGCTTGAGCTTGCTCTCACAAGTGCTTGCTCTCATTTAAATAAAGTCTTTAGAAACATAAAAAACCTAAAAGCGTTAAAAATTTAAAAACGTAAAGGAATCAAAGACAAATATAATGAAAGAATGAACATTTTCTGGGGGTGACTACAAATACGCCTGTTTCATCATTTTTGTCTTTCTTCCCTTTTTTTAAATTTCTCGAAACGGAAATTTTCCTAGCATGCCTGGCCACCCTGGTGGACAGGATGCCTTGCTTCTAACGTCACAGTGACTCCTACCCCAGGAAAATGGGACTGAGAAGTGCCCCAACAGGTAAGGACTGCAGTCCTGAATCTGTCCCCCAACTCTTCTACATCTTCATCAGGGCTTCCTACGCTCCCATTAGCCACTGAGAATTCAGCCTGAAATCCAACCCCAGTGAGTTTTGTTGTGGGTTTTTTTTTTTTTTTGAAATTTCATTTACTTATTTATTTGACAGAGATCACAAGCAGGCAGAGAGGCAGGTGGGGGGGGGGAGCAGGCTCCCTGCTAAGCAGGGAGCCCGATGTGGGGCTCGATCCCAGGACTCTGGGATCATGACCTGAGCCTTAACCCACTGAGCCACCCAGGTGCCCCAGCCAGTGAGTTTAACCCCTACCACACCTTCAAGCCTTGATTACACAAATGTCTCCGTTGAGTCTCTGGTCCTACAGTTAAGCTAGTTGTGTTCCAGCTCCCTGGAGACAAACCCACCAGACACCAGCACCCAGGTCAGCCAGACACCAGCACCCAGGTCTGGCTGACCCACCCAGAAACTCCTCAAAGCACAACGACCGCCTGCGACGGATCTGGGTCTTAGAAGTGTACAGAAAGCAGACGACAGCGGACAACAAAGCAAAGGGAAAGGTAGAGTTCACAGAGAAATGTCCAAAGAAATGCACGTGCCACGTACATGACAAAAGGTTAATACTGCTCACCTTCAGAGAAGTCTTACAAATTTTTTTAAGATTTTATTTATTTATTTGACAGAAATCACAAGTAGGCAGAGAGAGTGGGGGAAGCAGGTTCCCTGCCCAGCAGAGAGCCCCATGCGGTACTTGATGCCAGGACCCCGAGCGACCTGAGCCACCCAGGCAGCCCGTCTTACTAATTTCTAACACAAAAAGACCCTGAACAAGACGCATTAACAACACACAAATAAGGAATCAGAAGATGCAATAAAACAGCCAGGAAGTCTCAAAATAAGGGGGCGAGCGCTTCACGTGTCCATCTTCTTTCACCCAAGCGGCCCTACAGAAGCAGCACTTCCCAAAAACCCCTGGGAAGAAGGCGAAGCGTGTCCAGCATCTCAAAGCACAGGCGCCGAGCGCGGCCTGCGGAGCAAACCCGACGCCTGAGCACTGCGCCGGGCCGCGGGGACAGGACGGCCACCCCCTCGCTGGGGGGCCTCAGGGCGGACAGGCCGCTCGTGCACCGCCTGCGGACGCACATTCCAACCGCCGGGCAGCTCCCACCGCAGCGGCCCGGGCTCTCGGAGGAAGCGCAGGGAGGAGCCGGTCCCCGGCGTCCCCGCGGGACCGCACAGAGCCGCCCGCACAGCCGCCGGCGACGGAGAAGCTGCGCGCTCGGACGCCCGCGGGCGCCGCTCCGGGGCAGAGGGACGCCGCGGAGCCCCCGAGCTCTCTGCGCCCCGGCGGTCCCGGGGCAGTTGACGGCGACGACCGGCGCGCGGAGAAACGCGCGGACCCCACGCGTGCGCTTCCCGAGCGGATCTCCCCGACGGCGGCGGTCTCGGAGCACCTCTACTCCGCACCCGGCGCGGGGCCGCAGGGACGCCGGCGCCCACCGGCGCGCACACGCAGGGAGCCCCGAAGGCCGGCGACGCAACCCTTTCCTCCCGGACCTGCCGCACCCCGCGGGGACCCAGCCCCTGCCCCTCCGCAGGCCCCCGCACTCCCGGGCCCGCCGCCCGCAGCCGCCGGCCGCACCCCCCCGCCCTCCTCAGCGCCGACCCCCGAGGCCCGGGGACCGGCGGCGGCGTCCACGCGCGTCAGCCCGCGGCCGGCCTCCACGCAGTCCCAGCTCCGGGGCGGCCACCGAGTCGCCGTGAGGTCTCCACAGCTGGGGACGACCCCGTCCCCTCGGAGCCCCCCGCCCCCGAGCGGGGCTCCGCGGCGCAGCGGGGACTCCGCCTCCCCCGTACCCCGCGCCCCAGCGCCGTGGAGGGGGGGCCGGAGCCCCCGCTGCGGCCGTCCGGGACCCTCCCCGCGCCCCCGGTCGTGGGCGCCCCTCCCTCGGGTCCCCCGGCCGGCGCGCTCACCCTCCCGGCAGCGCCGCCTCCAGATGGTGTCGGTGTGCAGGATGCGCCGGAACTTGGTGCAGACCTGGGCCAGGCTGGGCAGGTCGGTGCCCGGCAGCGACGCGAAGATCTCCACCAGCAGCTCGGGCGGCAGCTCCAGCAGCGAGCAGCGCGGGGGCGGCTGCGGGCCCGCGCCCCGACCGCCCGGCGCCCCCGCCACGGCCGCCGCGCCCGCCTCGATGCGCTCCTCCTCGGGGTCCGTGTCCGGCTCGCTGTCGGCCGCCGCGGTCTCGGCCGGGCCCCGGCGCTGCTGGCGGCGCCGACACCCCCGCGACGGGCCCACACCGCAGAGCCGAGCGCACACCGCCATGCCGGCGCGAGGGACGGCCGCCGCCTGTGCGCACGCGCCGCCGGGGAGCGGAGCCCCGCCTCCGGGAGCGGGGAGGGGCGAGCCGGGCCCGCCCACGAGCCTTGGCCACGCCCCCGCGCCCCGTCTGCCACGCCCACCGCCGCGGGCGGGGCCCACCCGCTCCCTGCGGTCCAGCCGCCGCCTGACGCCTTCGAGTCGGGCCGGGGTCCCGCGCCTGGACGCGGGTCGGGGAAGAGTCACCCTCAGCGGCTCCAGCTCGCACGACAGCAGCCCCCTCCCGACCGGCGACGTGCGCGACCGACCACAGCCTCGCCTGCAACACCGGCCGACGCCTCCCCGCTGCGCTCCGGGGTCGCGGCGCCGTGGGCCCGGCCGGCGTGACCCACGCCGCGAGGACGGCCCGAGGAGCCCCGAGGTTGTCCTCCGAGAGCCCCCCCACGACGGCCCGAGGATCCCACCGGACGTTCTCCCCCCATAACACCCCCAGGACGGCCTGAGGACCCCACCGAGTTCCCCCAGGACCCCCCAGAATGCCCCCGAGGACCCCCTGGAGGTTCGCCCCCGACCCCCGGCACCCCTCCTGAGGATGTCCCGAGAGCGCTAGCACCGCGGCCGCGAGGACTCCACGCAGGGTGGCGCCGGGGCCTGTCCAGGGCAGCGGGGCGGGCTTGTCCAGCACTCCGGACCTCGCGAAGCCGGAGAGAAGCCGGAGAGAAGCCCGAAGTCTGCCCGTCGAAGTCTGCCCGTCGGACTCCTTTCCTCTGCGACCAGACGTGCCCTCGCTTCCACCCGCGCTGTAATGAGCGGGAAATCGGGCTGGTGGACCAAGACACCCGCTCTGGCCTCGTCGCCAGCGGTCTTGGGTGGCCCTGGTGACCTTGCTTACTGCGACCCAGGGCACATGTGTTCCAGAAGGTGCGGCCCAACTGGAGAGACTGTGTACAGGCGTCTCGTGACCGCGGCTTGCCTTAAATAGCTCACAGCAACAAGAACCTGTGGTTATTACTTGTTTCCTGACAGTCAGGCCCCGGCGGTGGGTGTGGTTACAGGAACCGCTTTCCAGCACAGCCCTGAAGCCTGAGGGACACAGCCCTGAAGCCTGGAGGGACTGCCCGAGTCTAAAGGGAGGCCTAGAATGCCCAGCCAGCGCCCAGTGTTTTCTGGGCAAGGGTGGCGGTCTTGCTAATAAGAAAATTAATGACCTTGCCGGTTCCCACAAATTCCTCAGTAGGCAGGACCGCCTCCGTAGGGAGATCTCAAGGTGGGGAGGAAATCCAGTAATCAGGGAAGCACATCTTCTAAGAAAAATACAAAACTGGGGCGCCTGGGTGGCTCAGTGGTGATAAAGCCTCTGCCTTCGGCTCACGTCATGATCCCAAGGTCTTGGGACCGAGCCCCACATGGGTCTCCCTGCTCTGCGGGGAGCCTGCTTCCTCCTCTCTCTCTCTGCCTGCCTCTCTGCCTACTTGTGATCTTTGTCTGTCAAATAAATAAATAAAATCTTTAAAAAAATGACAAAACAGTAGGTCTTAGATAAATCTTGACTTGCTTGGGTCCACACAATTGAAAGCCAACACCTACCTGACCTCTCTGCACCTAGCCCGCTTTTCAGTCCTGCCTCCCCACTGGCTTCACAGCGCTCTTGCCGGTAGTAACACAGACCCAAAAGCAGACTCCTTGTGGCAGTTACCTATTGAAAGGTATTTAATGGCCCCACTGACTCCTTATCACGTCACACATCATTGCCCAGTCTGCCGTCCAGGCCTAACCCCACACCCATCTTTCCAGGGAAGCCATCTGATAATTCAAGGTCGTCAGCCAAGTCACATCTCCTCTACCAGGAAGACCCATCTCCTGACCCTGTGCCACTAGGAAGCCATCCCTCCTCCTCCTTGTCCCCAGATGGCATTTCCTAGGAAGGATGTTCTCTTTTTCACATTATTTTATTATAAACACTTGCTGCCTTTTATACCAATCTCCCTAGATGTCTCCATTGTCACGTGATAGATATGCTAACACACACCAAGCCGTCAAGGAGTGTTTACTAAATGCTGAGTAAAAACAAAACAAAACCAAAAAAAAACCAAACCTGGCTTAAAAGACTAAAAAGTGAGAAACATGAACCAAACAGATTTAGAGAAGCCTGGTGGGACAGTGTTATAATCCAAGCTCAGAAGGATTTCAGCGAGCAGAAATGCACGAACTCATGTGATAAACTTTTGCAGCGTGCCTGACTAGCCTGCCTGTGTGCTATGTTCTGCGTAGATCTATACATTCTAAAGGATAATGCTTGCCACTATTACATTTTTGTTTGGTTTGGTTTCTAATTCTGTCCACCCCCCAGTAGGCAGTTTTCTCCCAGAGGAGCTTAGAGTAGTATCCTTGTACAGAGTAATCTGGTTAAATTTTCATCAGAAGAATCATTAAACTATTTTTTTTTTAAAGATTCTATTTATTCATGAGAGAGAGAACGCACGTGAAAGCACAAGCAGGGAGAGGGGCAGAGGGAGAGGGAGAAGAAGCAGGCTCCCCAGGTGAGCAGGGAGCTGGACCCAGGGCTCTCTATCCCAGGACCCTGGCATCACAATCACAACCTGAGCTAAAGGCAGATGCTTAACCAACTGAGCCACCCAGGCACCCCAAATGGTTAAACTATTCTGTTTATGGTTTGGATTATGCAACTACACAGGTAGGCAGACCTATTGGAATCTATACATCCTTGAGAGCAGGACTAACAGAAGGCCGTGTACAATAACCCACTCAAGACGTGGAAGGATTGAATTCGTGCTAACCAGATAGAAACATAGCTGTGGGAGCACGGGTAACCCCTAGGCAGGAAGGAACCCAAGGGGAAAGGTCTTGGGTAGCAGATAGTTATTACACACCCAACCCCAAAAGCTTTGTGTGTCCTGAACACTTTTATAGTCCCTTATGTATAACATATCCCATACTAAGAACACTTAAGGACGATGTGGTTAAAGGAAAAGGAGAAAAAAACTAGATAAAAGTAACCGTTTAACACTAGGTGGGATGATAATAATGAACTCTTTGTTATGGAAAAGTGATCGTGGCTAAGGAGATCAGCAGATTACACCGCAGGCTATTTCTCAGTGGGTTCCCCAGAAGTCCCAGAAACTAGTGTTTCCTGGACCTGAGTAAACTGTTAACTTTACCCAGATGGGAAGAGTGACATCCTACCCGCTGCTCAGAAGAGACAGCCGAGGTAATGGAAAGAAAGGAAAATGTTCAGAAGCCAAACAAGAGGGCCACAGACTCTCAAGAGTTGCTTCCCGTAACAGTCCCATATATGGGCAAAAGCTGGACTGACAGCAGTCCTGGAGGGTCTGCTTAGAATTAAGCTGCAACGAAAACCTGGGCCATGCCAAGCCAGCTGTTCACACTCATTTCGGGAACAGTACCAGGCTGTGTGGGTGACTGGTGACGGCGTTCCTGCCTGCTACTGCCTGCGGGTTTCCGATGGTCCATCAGACCCAGCTTCGCTGGAGAGGACGGGCTGCCCAAGGTGCCTCTCCCAGCTGCGGACAGGGCCTGCGAGGACTCAGCACCCAGCGAAGACGCTGCTCTGACCGGCCATCCACGAAGGGCGGCCTCACAATCCTCCTGACCAAATCCTTTCTGAGAATAGCCCCTGCCCCCCACTCTTGAGCAATACTTGTTTGTGTACTTGTTCTAAGGAGCAGCTGACACAGGACTGATAGGACAGAGGGCCAATAGTTGCCTAGACGTCCCCAAGGCTGGACTATCTCTTCCAATCAGAGGGAGGAGAGGTGGGACGGGCCAGGCCGGCCAGGGAAGCTGAACAGCTTCTTGGTTTGACTTGTCTTCCATGTCGTGTGTGGCAAAAATAATGTCCCACACCGCGGGTCATGTTTCGTGCCTCATTTAACAGATTCGTAGAAATAGCTAGACATCACGATTTACAGCCTTGGTAGGTCACTAAGGCTGGAGGCAGCACGTTCAGTTTTCAGGTTACCTTATTTTGTCCACAATTATGGTCATTTCCTATTATGGAAAAGGGAAGAGGGTCGAGTTATTTTAAAACTGACACCATCTGGCTTTCTAGAATAATAGTCTGGTAGTTTAAAGGCACCATGAGATTCCTGGAGAAAACATTTAATAAATTTAAAGATGTGTTCTTGCTTTCCTACTTTATGTGGATTATTTTAAGAAAACAGTATTGTTATTCCTTAAAAAATACATCATACTATGCTTATATTAACAAGATTAAAATAATTCATGAATAATATTACCACTCTGAAAATTATTCACTACATCAGACTTCTATGAAACTGCAGTCCGAGGGCACATGAAATTTTTCTAAGCTACTTCTTTATCTATAGGTTAATGTAAGTTAATAAACTTTATATATATATATTACAAATATGCTATTCTTACATGGAGATTATGTGTATGAGACACCTTTATCTGCCTACAGCCTTGGATGATTTTCTGAGAAACATACAGGGAGATGTGGTCAGATCAAGCGGGAATTCAAGGTTAGGGGAGGACTTTAGCAGTCACTGTAAACGTGGACGTCAGTACTTGAAAGCCACAGTGATCCTGTCCCGTCAGCAGCACAGCCCTTGAAATCTATCCCTCTGTGGCTGTGAACCCAAGGTCTGGGGTAATTCGGTAAAGCTTTATGGATGCCTAAGGGACTGGAGAAATATGAAACTCTCCTTCCCTTCCCCCAACCTCCATATGCCAGATAATTGATTTTTTTTTTCCTTCTTGCATTTGGAACAACTGTCCAGCAAGAGAACGAAAAGTCCATTTCTTACAAAATAGCCATTAAGCCAAGAAAGCAGGTCACCGGTCAATACTTAGTAAAAAAAAAAAAACACAACAAAAAAACTCAAGAAAAGAAAGCAGCACAGTCCATGCTCCTCTTCTTCTTCTTCTTTTTTTTTTTTTTTTTTTTAGTTTTATTGATTTATTTTAGAGAAAGAGTGGAGTGGGGAGCAGACTCTCAATCAGAGACTCTCAAGCAGAACCCCTGCTCCCAGGGGAGCCAGACA